AGCCTCCGTCTGCTGAACACAGACGCGGCCCGACGAGGGCTTCTCAAGGACTAGTGTGATAAACAAACACACGCCCAGGGGAGGTCGCGGCGAGACCACAGAATGACAGCTGCAGCTCGCTGAGGTTTCAGCAGCCTGGATGGCAACCCCCGCTGATACGCCGTAACACCAACACCAGCTGTTTCCAAACACTCACGGAGATTCGTCTTGTAGAAGGCTCGGCTACGAAGCGAAAAGCTGATGTGCGTTTACACGCGCTCTCCTTTTATACCCGCGCTGCGGGGCGGGGTGCGCGTGGCGAAACACGCACGCCAACTGTCATTGGCTTGTTTAGTTTACACTCGAAGGTGATTGGGCTCTCGGGCAAGATCCCAATTCGTCAGTCACGACTGACGTAAAGTCGAACGTGACTGACTGAAAGGGAACTAAGATCAGAGTTCATAGAAGAGGCCCACAGAAGCTTCAATTTTGAAAGACTGTTTCTGTGGAAGAATGGGCCAAAATCACACCTGAGCAATGCATGCCACTAGTTTCTCCAGACAGCTGTCATTATCAACAAAGGCTTTTGTATGAAGTATTAAATACCTTTCAGTATGCATGTTCAATACCTTTTCCCTGGGTCATTCCATTTTATTACACTTATCTTAATTTCTGAACTTATTTGTTTTGTTTACTTTGTATGTATGGAATAGTTGGGTTGTTACCAACATCTGGTGAAGATTTCATGTCAACAGCACCTTTAGAAATATATTTACTGAGAAAAATGGTGAAGTGTTCAATTCTTATTTTACCTGCTGTATAGTGTGTTATAAAATCTGAAACCTTTACAAACGGCCTGCAATAAATATGAAATTATGACCAGAGAACAATAACAACAGACTGTGTAGAGAAATATGAACCTTTTTAAGTGATAAAGTGCAATATTGCATGAATGGCATCCCTAACATGAAAATAAAATGAATTAATTTGAAATTAAAATAAAATAAAATTAAAATAAATTATAACTAAACTAAGCTGCAAAAATTAATTTAAAATAATGTATAAATTAAAACTAAATAAAAAATATATTTTAAAAACAAAAATATAAACCTATAACAACTATCACAGACGTGGATCACATGTGTTCAGCTGCACTTGTTTTAAACACAACGCTTTATAAGAACACGAGCCAGAGTGCTTTGTGTTCACGTTTAAAGCAAATCACACTGCAGTTCACCATCCCAGTGTCTCAGAGACGCACGTGACTGGGCAGCGTTTATTAATCACTATAATGTGGATATTTAGTATGATTAGAGCTGTGAAAGAGTTCCTCTGGCTGATATCGTCTGCGGCCGTGTGCCTGTCCTTGTCGTGTGTAACGAGGCCGATCCTAACGAGTGTGTGACGGGACAGATGGAGGCTCTACCTGAGCTGTGACTTTACTCAAGGAGACTCACCTGAGGAGGAACCGTTCCCACAGAGATTCACCACACACACACTCACAAACACACACACACACACACACACACACACATGCACGCACGCACACACACACACACACACACACTCACACACATGCACGCACGCACACACACACAAGCTCTTTGCGAAACGCTGCAAACTGACCCACTTTAAGAAAGCAGAGCGGATCCTTTAATCCAGAGCAGGATCATGACGGAGGGCTGTTGGCTTGCCAAGAGCATGCTGGGATACTGGAGGAACAGGCCAAAGCGTAAGCCTCCGTCTGCTGAACACAGACGCGGCCCGACGAGGGCTTCTCAAGGACTAGTGTGATAAACAAACACACGCATGTCTGTGTGTCCACTCATTAGGGAGCGACACTGCTGACTGATGAGTGTTCACAGCCAGAAATCACAAACATCTACAGCCTAAATTACTCTGTTATCAGCTACTGTTTACTAAGCATTGGGATGCATAAGAGTACAAATTACAATCTTTTTTTTTTTACAGTACAGGAAATTATACTAAAAACCGTATTTATTTATTAATGGAAAATTGATAAAAAAAAAATAAGAAGATAAATGTCACTATGCGAGAACAAAACTACAACTAAAAACAGGCTTGATTTTCTCTGCACAAAATACAATTACCTTTATTTGTATTTTTTTAGCAGTTTGCTTTGTTTTTGAACACATTCTATTAAAAAACTTTCTTTATAATTACATAACATAATATTTATTTATTTATACAAATTCTAACGAAAACTGCATTTGTAATGATATAGAAATATGTTAATATATAACATAATATTTATGCATTTTATATTATTAATTAATTAAATAATTATAATGTTCCTAATCATAATTCCTAATGGTGATAAAAAAACAGGCTTTATTTTCCTTTGCACAAAATATGATTTTATTTTTAATGATTTTGCAGTAAAATATGACCTAAAATTTCTACAGTCATATTTTTGTCCAGTAAAACAATTTCTGCTAAAAATGTAATTTATAATTATACCTGTTTATAAATCTATTCACATCTAACATAACATTTCTTTATTTATTATTTATTTATTTAAACAAATTCTAATAAAACTTCATTTGTAATATAAATATATTTAAATATAACGATATTTATTTATAAATATATTATATTGTTTATTAATTCAATAATTCTAACTGTCCTAATCATAATCATTAATGGTCATAAAAACAGGCTTCATTTTATTTGCACAAAATATGATTGTTTATATTTTTCGTATGATTGATATGACCTGAAAATTTCACAGTGATATTTTTGGCCAGTACAACAAATTCTACTGTATTTTTCATTTAACATTATTCATTCGTGTATACATTCTATTTTATTCATTTTATTTATTAATTTATATTTATTTACGCATTAAAGTAATGAGAATATAACAAGAAAATATTTAATTGTCATGAAACTAAATGTCACTATGAAAAAAAATATATTGTGTGGTCCTAAAAATAGGCTTAATTTTCTTTGCACAAAATATGATTGATTTTTTCTTATCAATTCTGGGTGAAATATGGACTGAGCATATCTTCAGGCCATGTTTTATGAGATTCACTTAAATGACTTCATTGTAATGGCGCCTAATAATAATTTCGGCTGTAATGTGCCAAAAGCCAAAGGCAAAGGTATGAGATTTATGCAATTTAAGTTATTTAAATATATATATATATATTTTTCAAAATAGGCTTCAGTTTAATTGAACTTACAAATAATGATAGCTTATTTTTTCTGCTGATTTTGGGGTGAAGTAAGGGCGGAAAGTGTCCTGGGAGTCTCTGATGATCTGACAGTAATGTCTCTGTAATAATGATTCGCTGTAATGGAGATGAATCTGATCGACATTCACATTCGACATTCTAGCCTCCAGGAACAGCATCAGCTTCACAATTCCCAGCAGAAGCCATTTAACATCACTCCTGAACATCAGACGCACAGACGGACGACTGAACAACTGAACAGCGCAGCAAACAGAGTGCATTTCATCTGCTGCTGGTCAAAAATCATTGCAGTCAATGTAGTTTTTGTTTGTTTGTTTGAAAGATTCGTTGCTACAAAAGAAGAATGATTCGCAAGTGAATCATACAGAATGATTTGCAAAATGGTTTAAATGATTAATTAACACAAACAGACTAAAAAGAATGATTTGCAAATGAATAATTCAGAATGATCAGTGAAGCGACTGAACAAATTGTTAGCACAAACTCACTACAAAGAAGAACTCACATGTGGTTCTAACGATTCATCAATGCAAACGGACTAAAAAACGACTCACAAATGAATCATAAGTGGTTTGAATGATTCATAACCTGACGGCTAAAGAACGATTCCCAAATGAATCATTAGTACGGCGTTATTTTACAGCCAAATGTCGAGAGCGCATTATTGTAGCGTGGAAGCACATAAATATAATGCGCGTAATATAATATAAGCTGGTTATTGTACTTTGTTTTACTAGGCCCACTTTATCTCTTTTATGTTTATATTTTGATCTTTTCTGTGAATGCACACATGCATCTCTCTGTAAGATACTTTGTAAACACGGTTTTAAAAGGTGCTATATAAATAAAGCTTTAACCGATGAAAATGCGTGAAATCTGATTGGCTGGGAGGGAAGTGAACCCGGAGTTCTTTTGACAATCGAAGATGGATCTTTAATTTCTTTCCAGTTTAATAATATTTAGCAATGCTAATGAAATGCAGCCTGTATTAGAAATGGCTGATTTGGATGATTTGTGCATACAACCTCTGTCTGTTCTGGTTGGTCTCCGAGCAATTTATCAATAACAACATATATTTATAAAAACAACATATTATAGTCTATAAAATATCAATATTATGTCATCATATGTCAGATACCTCAACTGAATTTAAAATCAATGCAATACATTCTCAGTTGGTATGATGGCAATAATAAGTAATCAATTCCTATCAAATCAACATCAACTGCAAAAATAGATGTAAATGATGCAAGATATGTATGAAAACCCACTTCATTTTAGCGACACATTCAATGGCACTCTCCTCTAAAACAGTGAATATACAGTTAGTTACATGCTATTACATGCTCTGTAAATGCATTAAACACGTAGAATAGAATATAATATAGTGTATGACAAATATGAGAAATTCATTATAGTGTTATATTTGGTCTCTAAATCTTAAGTATCGGTTTAGGGAATATATATATATATATCCAAGTACACAATACATATATGACCACGAGAACTTCATATGCTTTTTTGTTTGTGTTTAGATGAATTGTTCAGAGAGGTTTGACCAAATTGTCAAACTAGGTTATTTCCAAATCATCCAAGCACCCGATTGATTTCTAATGTTTGATTATTATGACTAAGTAGTAATAAATTGTAAAGAAATTACAGATCCATCTTTGAAATCTGATAGAATAATGCGCTCTCGACATTTGTCATTAAAATAACGCCATGATTAGTGATGTGTGTGATGCACCGACACGGACCGGCTGCAGGCTGATGGTCAGCTGAAGTGTAAATGGAGCGGACCTCGTACGATGATGGTGGTGGATTTCTTGGCCGGGTTTCCCACATTGTTGCTGGCGATGCAGCTGTAGACGCCGGTGTCCTCGGAGGCGATGGCGGGAAGCGTCAGAACCCCTTCCTTCATCAGGCTCTTCTCCGGCAGAGATCCGGAGCCGCTGGTCCAGGCCAGGCTCGGAGCCGGCTCTCCTGCGGTCGTGATGCAGACCAGAGACACCGTCTGGCCCGGATTCACCACGATCGGATCCTCCACCAGCAGCTTGATGGAGGCGGGAGCTGAGAAACACAGCCAACACTCAGGAAGTGCAGGGTTATTATCGCTAACTAAAACTGTAATTAAAGAAAGAAATTAAATAAATGTTAACTGAACTAAAATGAATCTAAATAAACTAAATTATATAGACAATTATATAGAAAAACGTTTACTAAAATAAAAGCGAAAAGAGAAAATATCAAATAAAATGCAATTCAAAACATTAAGAGAAATTAAAATAGTATAGTCACTGACATTTGTTATTAAAACTACTGAAATTGTTTTCTTTAACTGCAATAAAGCTATATAAAATTTAAAAAAAGAATTACAAAAATAATAAGGTATTTCAGGTACTTGCCCAGGCAATATTTCTAAATTTCGTTTGGTTTAATTTAAAGTACTAAAATAAATAAAACTAAGTAAACTAAAACTAATAAATAAAAAACTATATAGACATAAAAAACTAATAAAAATGAAAAAACACACAACAAAGTTACTAAAACTTTAACTGAAATTAAAGTGAAAACAGAAAATATTAAAAAATATATGTAATTCATAAAATTATCAAAAAATATGTTAGTAAGTTATTAGCCACTGATCTTTAGTTACTACGGTTTGCTACTAAAACTACTAAAATTGCTCTCTTTAACTGACATAAAGCTATATGAAGTAAAATTAAAAACAAAATAAAATACAATAAAATAAAAATCTAAAAAAGGAATTTCAACTACTTGCGTACATACTTCAACAACATTTCTCATTGTCTTTCGGTTTAATTTGAAGTAGTAAAATAAAACTAATAAATAAAAACAAATAAATATGATGTAGACATAAAAAAATACAATAAAAATGGCAAAACAAGCAACAAAGTTATTAAAAATGTAACTAAAATTAATGTGAAAAGTGAACATTGTGCATTTTTAGTCCAATTTTGAATGAAAATGTTAAAACTTTCTATCAAATAAAGAGTGAATAAAAAATGTTTCACTGGAATTGGAAGGAACTGTGGATTCATTATTAAAAATCTATAAAAAATTGCTTCTGTAAAAAAATTTAAAATATTTCATTCATGAATAAATATAAAAAATAAATAAATAAATAAATAAATAAATAAATAAAAATAAATAAATAAATATAAAAAA